ACACAATCTTGACAAGTTACTGATAAACTATTTAGGCATTTGATAAACACATTCAACAAACTATGTATCGATTATTTGAAAACTCGAAAGAAAATCAAGCATTTATAAACTAATCGTTGAAATACAAAGCGACTCATATGCTTGCCAATCATCGGTGATTTACTAAACCATATATGAAGTACAAAATGGCCAAATCACACAATTCTCATCTATTAAGTGATACCAATTAAAAAAGATACTACACTAATCTAAAACTCAATTCAAGCACAAATGAAACACTCAATCAAATACCAACTCTTAGTGAAAGACATTTTTGAAACATGTTACGACTATCATCAAATAAAAATACTAGGAGAAATCTTGACTCTCAGGATAATTGATCAAATCCTATCTTAGGCACAAATGCAATAACTCAGTTGAATACCAAGATTAAGTGAAAACATCTTGCATCCTAGCAACCAAAAACACTTCAATCAAACAAAATGCTCAAGTAATAAAATACAAAGCCAAACAATAAGTTGAAACTATTAAAAGCCAAAAGACAATTAACATGACATCAATCCACTGACCATTAAGACTCTTCGTAACCATGACACTTGACCTTAGAGGGTTGCACACTTACCAGTCTCCCAACAACGAAGTAGCCTAATCACTTAAACTCTTCGTGCCTTTGGCACTCGAGCCTAAAAGACTATGTACTATACTAGTCTCCCGTCGATCGAGTGAGTATAAGCATATAGGCTCTTCACACATGCACACTTAAGCCTAAAGGATATGTACAATCAGTCTCTCAACGACCAAGTAACTTGGTTACTTAAACTCATTGCACCTTTAACACTCAAGCTTGGAAGGTTGTATCGTATTGATCTCCTATCGATTGAGTGAACCTAACAAGTTCTGTGACAGTCAACTGATATGCCAAATACGTCTCATAACAAGACTTAATCTATTTTCGAACCATCTCCCAACGAATAGTTGGAACAAGGCACCATGAATTACAGAATAAACACGATAACAATTATAAATGCTAAGATTTATTGACTTATTAATAAAAATATTTATATAACACAATTTGTAGGATCATAGGAAGAAATAAATGATTTATGTCTATATTGTCATTCAAGTTTATATTTTAGAGACTCCTGAGTCCTAGAAAAGATCAAGTTTTACATTCACTAAATGCTCTGGACTAAAACAACCTAGCTAAGTCTTTCTAAAAAAAAGCTTCATATAAAAACAACTTTATATTTTTAGTACAAGGTTGTCTAATTGACTCCAATTAAAAATGGAGTTAAACAACTTTGACTAATAAAATTTATACCAATCATTGAATACATAATTAGTTGCACCAATTCTTTTTTAATGCTATTGTTTAACTCTATATTTTTTCTGGACAAATTTAGACAACTTTTTTCAAGATATTAAATTAAATTCATTTTTTTTTATAAAATAGAATGAATATTTGCAAGACAACATAACAATCCTATTTTGAATAATAGGTAACGGCAAAGACAAGGAAAACCAAACTGTGTTAGGTTATTGGCTTATTGGAGTGGTCACAGTAAAATCGTGTTACTATGTTCACTGTACTTAGGTGACGGCAAACATAAGGAAAGGAAAAACATGGCAAATGGGTAAACCCACATTAAAGACGACCACTCGAATCTTTACAACTATGATCAGTTTGCAACTTTTAACATTTCTCTCTCCAACTGTTTTATAATGTATGTTGAGAATGAGAACCCAAATTTTCTCTCCATAAATTTGTTTTTGCATTATCTTTTTGTCATTGCTTCAACATTTACAATTATGGGTGAATACTGTGTTGTTGATTGTTTGAGTTGAACTCCAAAGTCCAAACTGAAAAATCACAGAAATTAGGTGACTCAAACCATAGATATTCTGTTTCGTTTCATTACTCACATTTTTTTAGAGTATGATGTAATATAATTGTCATGTTTTTATGTTAGACGACTTAAACACATCCAAGTCAATTATATATACAAACAAAAATGATTTTAAGTCAAAAGTTTCTATCTGTCTACAGTGCCTCTTATACTTTAAGCTGTCAAATATGATTGGCTGAATATTATTTAAAGTGAAAGAAAGCGAATGCTAAGCAACGTGACAAAAAAAATTGACGATTAGTTCCATACTCTAAGAGAGAACAAATATTACTATTATCGGGCAAGATATACATGTAATTGGTGTTTGGGTGCAAGTAATAGTAGCAGTTAACATTTACACTGGGGTTACTCAATGTCTATATTTTTAGAATAAAAATGCTAACAACTCTTTCTTGTTAATATTATTTTATTATTGATTAAAAATTACAAATTTTGATGAATCTTATTATTAAATAAGGAGAGAATATCATTAAATATTATAAAAAAAATTATAAAAAATGTGATTTTCAATAAATTTTAGTCTATAATAAAGAGATTTTTCCCTATTTATGTTATAAGCTCTTCAGCTTATTGTAAACTTTTGCACTTTTTTTTACTTGTTTTCTTTCTGATTTTTATAAATCTTCTTTGTTTTAAAAAAAATTGTCAAAAAGAGTATAACATGATTCATTTTTACAAACTCAAAATAGATTTTTGGTTTCTATATAATATGAGCTAACCCAATTCAAATAAGATTAATTGAAAATTGATTATGCATAGAGTGAACTTTTCTTAGTTTGTTTCTCAAAAAGTACGATAATATATATATATATATATATATATATATATATATA